GGGAGGGATATTATCCATGGTGGTGGAAAATGGGCACTGGTGGAGGGATGGGTATCTGACCATTGTATAATTGAAACCAAAGCACAAAAAATTGTAAATCTACAACTGTAAAAAAATAAAATAAAATAAAGGGAAAAAAATATTTGGGGGCTGGAGCAATAGCACAGCAGGTAGGGCGTTTGCCTTGCACGCGGCCAACCCGAGTTCGATTCCCAGTATCCCATATGGTCCCCTGAGCACCGCCAGGAGTAATTTCTGAGTGCAGAGTCAGGAGTAACCCCTGAGTATCGCCGGTTGTGACCCCCCAAAACTCCAAATAAATAAATAAATAAATAAAAATATTTCACATGAGAGGTTCAGAAGATAAATTTCTACAATCATATCTCAATACTTCTTTAAGCCTCCATCCACGCAGTGTTTATTCAGGTAAATATTAATAGACATTCTTTAGATTCAATTTGTCATGCTTCCCCATGTTTTAATTTCTATCTTAGGTCTTTAATAAGATCGCTTAAAAAATAAACTAATACAGGGGTGATATAGGCTCAGTGACTGAGTATATGCTTTGCATGCAGGAGATTGAGTTTAGTCTTTAGCCTCTCTTCCCCCACTCAAGCATATTCATACATGCTCTTAAGTTAGAATTAATCAATGTACTTCCATACCTTTTGGGACCTAAGGGCCGGAGAGATAGTACATCAAGTAGATTTGCACATGTCCGACCAGGTTCAATCCCATATGGTCATCTGAGCACCTCTGGGAGTAATTCCTGGATGTAGAGCTGAGAAATCCCTGAGTGCTGCCAGTTGTGACCCAAAACCAAGCCCAAATAAACACGAACAAACAAAAATACTTGTGATCTTTCACACTGTAGACCACTCTTGGAAGTACATGTATATTCATTGCATGTTTATTGTCCTACTTCTTGGTTATTCAAAAAAGATTTTGGAAAATGGGATTTTTTTACCCTAAGGGGTGTATGAATTTAAGATTAAAGATAATATTATTCTCTTGTTCTACATTTCTCCCAAGGCACACAAATTATATTAGATTTTTCCTCCTGTGACACCCTTTATTAACTAGCAACCCTCCCATTTATTAGCTAGCAACAATTCACCTTTCTTTCATTAATCATTTATTTAAATACAAACACTTCTGTGTAAAGTAGGTCTCTCTGATTAAATTACTAGGCAAGTCTATATGAGCAATGGCAAGATGTGGTATCTGGGGATCCCCTTAGCTCATTCCTTATCATAGGGGGTCAAAATGGATCAATATAGAAAAACATTGTTGTTCTTTCTACAAGGTGACAACATAAGCATAGTCAACTCCAACTTGACAAGGCGAAAAGAAAAGAGAATTTTATGAATCCCTTAGGAATGTTTTCACACATACACACACACACACACACATACACACACACACACACACACACACACACACACACACACCCCTTGCCTTTTTACCCAGATCTTACTCTTGCTTTTTAAAGTAGATAACGAATGAATACATGTTAATTAGGATCATTCAAGAAGGAATTCCAAGCTCAGATTATATAGTAAATAATTGATGCTTTGCTTCTATTTTATCTGTTGAAAAAATTGCAAATAAAATTAGTAAATTATAGTAGACTAGAATATAAAAACTTCATAGGATTTTCTTTAAAACAACAATTTGCCAACATATAGAGAAATTTGATATAAATTTTGAATATATAATTTTATTTATAAAATACTATAATAGGCAGTTAATCTATGATTCTAAATGTTGGATAGTGCTTACTCATGGGTGTTTGCACCCCAAAAAATGAACTTTTTTTGGGTGCTAGATATTGAACCGAGGCCTCATGCATTTGAGGCATGTGTTGTGCTGTAAAAGAATGGTTGAAGTGATTATTGCTTAAATTGTGTGTTAGTTAAAACACATTTGTAAGAATTAGTCAGTTATGGGCTGGAGTGATAGTGCAACAGGCAGGGCATTTTGCCTTGCATGTGGCCAACCGTTGTTCTATTCCTGGCACCTCATGTGGTCTCTTGAGCTCTGCCAGGAGTGATAGCTGGGTGCATAGCCAAGAGTAAGCCCTGAGTGTGGCCTGAAAATAAAAAAGTAATTATACATTTATAAAATTTTAACTTTTATGTCTCATACTTAGCATAGCGGTAGGGCGTTTGCCTTGCACGCAGACAACATGGCCGACCCGAGTTCGATTCCTCTGCCCCTCTCGGAGAGCCCGGCAAGCTACTGAGAGTATCTAGCCTGCACGGCAGAGCCTGGCAAGCCCCCCGTGATGTATTCAATATGCCAAACACAGTAACAACAAAGTCTCCAATGGAGACGTTACTGGGCCCGCTCGAGCAAATCATGATCAACAGGAGGGCCTAAGGGCCTCATACTTAAAATGAAATAAAAATTTAAAGATTGCCATCTATTAGGAGAGAAAAGCAGAAAAAGTTCTATATTTTTAAATTTGTATTTGTATTTCCTAGGGCTGGAGCGATAGCACAGCGGGTAGGGCATTCGCCTTACAAGCGGCCAACATGGCCGACCCGAGTTCGATTCCTCCGCCCCTCTCGGAGAGCCCGGCAAGCTACCGAGAGTATTCGATATGCCAGACACAGTAACAACAAAGTCTCCAATGGAGACGTTACTGGGCCCGCTCGAGCAAATCGACGATCAACGGGAAGGCCTTTACCTTTACCTTTACCTATTTGTATTTCCATTTGGAGTTTGAACCACTGTTCATTAATATTTATCATATAGAAGTTTGCTGGTGATGAATTCTTTCTCTTTTATAACTCTACAATGTCTAGAGTTTGCCATTTGTGAGAGATATTTTTATTAAGTATGGAAAAATTTGAGGTCAACAGTGTTCAAAGATGGTGGCTCACTACCATCCTGCTCACTTTGCTTCTGATGAGAAACCTGCTGCTAAAATTTCTTTCTTATTTTCTAATATAATTCCCCCCCTTTCTGGCTATTCTTAACATCTTAGATTGTTTTAAAAAAGAAGTATCGAGCTGTTTGATTTGATGTACCTTGCAAGTTTCTTATATTTGGGGCTCATCGAGATTCTTGGTTTATAGTTTTTCTCAGATTTTAAAAGTCTTTTTCTTCAAATATTTGATCTCTGTATCCTTTTATCTCCTTTCTTTCAGAAACTCTCTCAGACATATATTAAGTCACCTGAAGTTATCCTAAATCAGAGTAACATTCTATTAATTAAAAAAATTCCCTTTTATCTATTTCACATGGGGTAGTTTATGTTCTTATATGCTTAAGTTTCACTCTTCTGAACTACTTGATATGTCAGTAATTCCTTTCTTAGTATTTTCAGTTCAGATATTCTATTTTTCATTTCAAGAAACTTGATGTAAGACTTTGAAAAATATTATTATCGTTCCACATCTTTTGAAAATATGGGCTACAGCTATAATAATTCCCTTAATGTTCTTGCCTTGTCTATTATCTGTGTCCATGATGAGTGGTTTCATTTTATTGGGTTTTCTTCCTTGATCCCTGGCATGCTTGATAATTTTTAATTGGGCTCTTGACACTGCAAATGTTTTTTCGTTGAACATTGGGTATTTTAATGTTCTATACATATTATTGGACGGCAGTTAAATTTCTTGGAAACAGTTTGGTCTTTTCAGGTACTGCTTCTAAGACTTGTTAGACAGTAGCCAGGTGGTATTTAGTAAAGGGTAAACTATTTCCTATTTTTGAGATAAGACCCTCTTGAGCAAACGACCCAATGACTCATGAATGTTGACTTTTGTCAGTCTGGCTGATGGGAATAAACACTATACTCGCTCCTGTGTGAGTGCTGTTCCAACTCACCTTGCCAAGTACTCCTTTTCTCTGCCTAAAATTGCTTGCCAACATACCAATGCTAATCAACACTCTGATGAATTCTTGAGCTCTTTGGCAGGTCTCTCTCAATCTCTCCCTCAGTTTCTCTTTGGGTGCAGCTCTGCCTCTCAGAGTCTTGTGTGCTACTGGTGCTACTCAGCTCCACCTCCCCTTCTCAAGGAAATTCTGCTTTGTCAGGAAGTTCGCTCTTTGCTATCTGTCGGGGAAATCTCAGTCATGGGGGAAATTATAAATTTCACTCAGTTTAAGCTCTTCTTTTAGAAGCTAAAATCTTTACTTCCTGGTATCCAGTTTCTTTTTTTTGCTTTTTGGGTCACACCCAGTGATGCTCAGAGGTTACTCTTGCCTCTGTATGCAGGAATTAGTCCTGGCAGTGCTTGGGGGACCATATGGGAAACCGGGGATTGAACCCAGGCAAAAGCCCTACTAGCTGTACTATCGCTCTGGTCCTGGTATCCAGTTCTTTAGAAAACTCTTGTCTCAAATATTTTGTCCAGGTTTTGACTTGTTTTAGATACCATGGTGGATTCAGCCGTTTTCATTCCTCAAGGTCAGAAGAGAATATTTGAATGGATCTAAGTTCATTTTAAAATAAATCTCATTTGAGACCAGAGAAATAGTATAGGGGTTAAGGTGATTTACTTTCATTTGATCAACCCCAGTTTGATTCCCAGTAACACACAAATTCTCCTGAGCACCACCAAGAGTGAGTCCTGAGTTGGGACCCAAGAGTAGCCTTGAAAGAGTGCTGGATGTGGTGTCTACCATCCCACCCCTCTAAGTGAATCTTATTTGAGTCCAGTTTCTTACCATCACAAAGTATTAATTTGATATTTACTGTTATATAATACTAGCTTATTTAAGGGAGATGGGTCATAACATTAGAATGTTTAAATCCCCAGTTTTAGTGACACTGGAAATACTTTGTCAGTGTCAGTTAAAGGGAAACTGTTACCACAAGTTAGTTTTATCAGGAGTCAGGAAGTGTTCTGAGATCAGTATTAGATTTTAAAAAGATGTTTTCAGTAGAAGATTATGTATTTTAGATAGTTCTTTGGAAAATACACTTGTCAGAATTGTCTTACTGGATTAATAATTTGTTGTATTGAGTTTTTCCTTTACTTGATGTGATGTCAGATAATAACACAACTACTTTTTCACCGAACAATCGCATTGTTCTAACATTTTTAATGAGTTTATTAGCATTTTCTATAATGCTAGGAAATGCTGTGGTCATCATAGCTTTCGTGGTGGATAAAAACCTTAGACATCGAAGTAATTATTTTTTCCTCAACTTGGCCATTTCTGACTTCTTAGTGGGTAAGTTTTATATACACATATATTTGAGATAATTTAAAAATATTTTATAATTTATTTATAAAACCTTAACATAAGCTTTTGTTTATAACAAAACTGGGATGGTTAAAAACAAAAAAAATTTAATGATTGACATTCAGGGTAAGCTAAGTAGCAACTAAAATGATGGTTTATATGTGCTAAATGGGCTTTTTAGGGGGATTTTTCATTTGAAAGCCGTTTCTTTTCATAGACTGAAAATAAATCTAAAACAGTTCTAAAGTAGTTTTTTTGGTTAAAAAATTATGTTTCTGAAGATATAGTGCTTCTGTATTTAAGTATGTGTATTCTTTACGTATTCTTGATTTTCTTACTATCACGAGGTGTGACAGTTATGTAATCATAGGAAATAATGTATATACTGGCAGCTAGCATATTTAAAAAATGAGATATTCCGAATGATTAAATAGTGTGGCAAATAGTATTGTTTTATGATATGGTATGAGATATTGTAAAATACACCCAACACTAAAATACATTGCATATAATATGGTATCACAGTGTTACATAACTGTAAGAGATCACACAAGTAAAGTTTTGGAAAAATAATTTTTACTCCCCAAAGATTATTATTTAAAACTATGCTTACAATAATAAGCAAGTGTACAGAAATGTCAGCTAATAATGCTGATTTATAAACATGTTTAGCATAATTTGATATTCTCTATTGCTGCAAAATACACTGATAACTATGTTAAAATGGAACAAAGATAAGAATACATATCGCTTGTAACACAGTGGTTACTCAACAAATGCTAGTCTCCTTTTCTTTTGATGTCACTGCAGATACGTACCAACTCAAAACAATGCCATACATTTTAGTAGAATATCTGAGAGGTGTAAGTATTTTAGGTGCTTATGATTAGATACTGAGGATAGCTAGAGAAAATTAAACAAACTAATTTTATCACCTGTGCTTCAATATAGTAGACTGAATAAGAGAGTTGACCCATGACAATAACAATATCAAGTAAATAGAAACTATGAAGATCCACCTAGTGCTAACAAGACTAAGAGGACAGAGAAAGCAGCCTTGGTTGACGGATAGTGGCATTGGAAAAAAGCTTCAAAGATTAGATAGAATTTCCAGAGAAGAGATGGAATGACAAGGTATATTACAAGAATCAGCAAAGATATAATGGTTTAAAAATCATTATGTGTCCCCCACCCCATTGTGAACTCCAGACTGACTTGTGTGCAAATCACTGCTTGGGAGAAGAGGATGAAGTTGGAGGGAGTCAGAGTCTATAGGAAAGCCCTGGATACATCAGTAAAGACCTGGATACAGGTCTGACTTTGGATGAGAGTTTATTCAGCAGGCAAAGTGGAGATTTATAGATGTTTACAGCACTGAGTGATGAAGTGGTTGAAAGAGTTGAAGGAGATGGGTGAAGCAGAAACAGAGGCGACTTGGTTTTATAGATGATCCTGTGGGCATCTCGGAAGAAGTCCTGGGGGAGGGTTCTAAGCCTGGGGCTGGTGGAAAGGAAATTCAGAGGCCGAGCTTTGAAAGTGGCGCAGGAGATGATTAAAGATTTAGTACTGGGGACATGGAAAGTGGCACTTTTAATAGAATCAGAGAGCAGTTGGGGAGGGCAGCTTAGGCTTCCAAGGCCATATTATTAAAAATTCTGGGGGAAATGGTTAGCTGGAAGGTTGATTTAAGAGTCATGACATGAACACATCAGGGCTTCAGAGAAAGGTTGCAAATCAATGTAAAAGTATTAAAAAATGCAGCATCTTCCCATTTCTCCCCTCAGTTCTACTTCTGCAAGAAACCAACTACTTGATGTTATTTCTTCTATATTGTCCCTATGCTTACAAAACATGTACTTAATCACTTAACTTCCCGTTAGTCGTCGATTTGCTCGAGCGGGCGCCAGTAACGTCTCCATTTCTCCCTGTCGCGTGCTAGTGTAGCCCAATGGCATCTGTTCGCTCTGGGAACATGAAGAGCCTCAAACCGATCGTTCATGATCTTGACGAAGAAGTCTGACCATCTGGTAGGTGGGCAGCCATGCGGTCTTTTGACATCCCGTGGAATCCAGTCAGTAACAGCTCTAGTCCATCGGTCATCTTTAAATCTCATTACGTGACCAGCCCATCTGATTTTTGACACCTTGGCAAATGAGACAGCGTCCCTGATTCTTGATCGTAGACAGATGTCGGAACTCTGGATTCTTTCTCTCATTTGAGTGAAACGTGATATTCCAAGCATAGCTCTTTCTATTCTTCTTTGGGAGACCTGAATAGCATTCTCATCCTGTTTGCATAGGGCCCAGGTCTCTGAGGCATATGTTAATGCAGGAAGAACAGTGGAATCAAAGGGATGTGCCCAGAGCCAGAGGTTCTTCGTCCTCTTAGCTATTTCTTCAACGTTCTTGAAGGCGTTCCAAGCCGCTCTCTTCCTCCTGCGCAGCTCGGGTGCCAGGTCATTTGTCATGTTGACTTCTCGACCTAGGTACATATAGCTGTTGCATTCGGAGATGGTCGTTCTGTTGAGAGCGAATGGGGCATCAGGAACGAGGCTGTTTCTCATAAACATTGTCTTCGTAAGATTCAGCTGTAGTCCTACCTTTCCACACTCACGGTCAAAGTCGGCCAGCATTTGTGCCGCTTGGCTGATGTTTGGTGTTATTAAAACAATGTCATCAGCAAAGCGGAGGTGGTGTAGTTGCCGACCATCTATCTTCACTCCCATTCCTTCCCATTCTAGTCGTCGCATGATGTTCTCGAGGGTGGCACTGAAGAGTTTCGGTGAAATGGTATCACCCTGCCGAACCCCTCTCTTGACATCAACGATCACTTCTTTGTAGAATGGTGAGATCCTGGTAGTGAATCCGCAATACAGCTCACGGAGGATCTTGATTAATTGGGCTTGAATGCCCTGATTGGCTAGGGCTTCAATGACCGCTTCCGTCTCAACAGAATCAAAGGCCTTCTTTAAATAAATGAACGTTAAACAGAGCGGCATCTTGAACTCCCGAGAAACCTCAATGAGCTTGGTTATCATGTGGATATGGTCGATAGTGTTGAATCCTTTGCGGAACCCGGCTTGCTCGCATGGTTGTCCTTCATCTAGTGTTCTGCCAATCCTATTTAGGATGACTCAAGTGAACAACTTGTAGATGACAGACAATAGGCAGATCGGGCGATAGTTGCCAATGTCATGGATGTCTCCCTTCTTGAACAGTAGTACGGTCCTGCTGGTTTTCCATTGGGACGGAACCTAGCATTCAGACAGGTAGCGAGTGAAGAGCCGAGCCAGTGTATTGATGAGTACTGACAGTAGGTTCTTCAGGTGTTCAGGTCTGACCTTGTCTGGGCCGGGTGCTGTTTGTTTCTTTACCAACGAAATGGCGTGTCAGATTTCGGAAGGGAGAACGTTGGGAACGACATATCCATCCTGTGGAATTTGGTATGTCGGCAAGTGGACATGGCTATTGAAGAGATTTGAGTAGAAGTCATGGATAATCTTCTCCATTGCCGTTCTGGAGGATGTGATGGATCCATCAGGACGTCGGAGGGCAGTCATCTTGGTCTTATAGTTGGCAAAGGACAGGTGGGCGTTACGAATACTTTTCCCGGCTTCTGCCGCATCTACCAGTACTTCTGCTCTTCTCTCTTTGAGGTCTTCCTTGATCGCATCTCTGCACTACTTTGCGAGCTCGGACTTAGGTTGCGGTTGCCTGAGGCATGCGCCAAACCACGCTGGCGAATTAGCTCAAGAGTTTTTGAAGATAGGCGATTTTTTGTGGCTATCTCTCTCTTGGCGTTCCTCGCACATTCATGGAGGTGCTGAACCAGTCGATTGTATTCCTCGTCAATGTTGTCAACAATGGCATCTTCCCATGTTGCCGCAATAGTACCAAAGAGTTCCCAGTTGGTGGTCGTTCTGGGAGTTCTCTTTTTGAACTTTGCAGCCCTTTCTCCCCGCTCTGTGAATTAGAATTTTGCACGAAGGAGACGGTGGTCCGATCCTGTTCGAAATTTTGGGACAACAGCGACATCGGTCAGGCAAAACTGTAGATTGAATATGATGTGGTCTTTTTCGTTGTGGAATCGAACACCGGGAGACTCCCATGTCCAATGTTTAGATTCTGCCTTCTGGAACTGTGAGTTACCATGGATGGTCCTGGTCGACATGATGAACTCAGACAGTCTCTCTCCCTGTCCGTTCCATTCTAAGCCATGGGTCCCGATGTGAAGTTCTTCAGCTGATCTTCTTGGTCCTATCTTGGCATTAAAATCACCCACGATGATCTTGTAGAAGGTGTGGTCTTCTTTATAGAACTTCTCCAGCTCCATGTAGAACTTCTCGATTTCTCTTTCATCATAATGAGATGTTGGTGCATAGACAACGAAGATAGAAACTGCAGGCAGTGAGCCACATCTATTCAAATGTAAACGTCCGATTCGGGTTGTTAGGCATTCAAATGAATCAATGCTCATGGCCAAGTTTCTGTTGACAAGGACACGGATGCCTCCGACACCTCTTTTATCGCATGTTCCGAGGAACAATTCTTCTCCAGTGTCGAAAACGGCATGGTGAGATTTGTGCCTTCTTGTCTCGGTCAGACCAATGATGTCGTACTTGATCATTCGCGCTTGTACCATCAGGTCCTCGATGGATGCATCTGATGCTAGCGTATGTGCATTGAAAGTACAGATGATCATTTTTGTCTTTCTTCGTTGTGGCAGCCTAGTTCGGCCTTGAGATTTTGTCGACCTCTCCTTTCTCATCCTTCTCAGTGCTGCCATGTCGGTGAAGCCTTCAGGGTCAGGTGAATGAGACCAGTTTTTTTGGTCACAAAACATGTACAAATATACAAATATGTTTATGTAAACTTTGAGAATATTTTGCTTTGTGTATACTTCATAGAACTGTACAACTTTCAGATGACACTGAGCACTTATATTTGGTGGTGTGGGACCCAACTGAGCTTGAGCCTTTTGAATAATAATAGAGTTTGTAGAAAAAAATCCACGTACATATTTTAAGTTAAAGATATGTAATTGCTAAAAATTTGAATCATCATCTGAACTTTCAGGGAATCATAATTTTGCTGGTGGAGGTCCTTTTTGTCCAATTCAAAATCAGTGTTACCTATGTACCTTGTACCAAATAAAGTAGTTTTCACTCTTTATTTTTATCTTTTACAGGTATGATCTCTATTCCTTTGTATATTCCTCACATAATGTTCAATTGGAACTTTGGGAGTAAAATCTGTACATTTTGGCTCATCATTGACTATCTTCTGTGTACAACATCTGTGTATAACATTGTGCTCATCAGCTATGATAGATATCAGTCAGTCTCAAATGCTGTAAGTAAAAATATCACCTGTCTTCCTTAAAAAGAACATAAAGAAGGCTGGGGAGATAATACAGGGGTTAAGGCACTTGTGGTGCTTGTGACTGATCCCAATTCAAATCCTTGCATTACATATGTTCCCTGGAGTGCCTGCAGGAGTCATTCCTGACCACTACTGGGTGTGGCCCCAAACAAAAAACAATAACAAAAAGCCAAGTCTATGGACTTGTAAATTTGGGATTTCCCAGACACATTTTTTTGGTGTGTTACAAGCAGTGCTCAACCATTTCAGGGGTCAGAGTCATGATGACTGGCCAACTGAAATGGACAATTTAGTGCTCAGATCGAGCCATGTGGCAAAGCTTGAGTCCAATAATACTTAAAGGTGGTATTGATTCAATGGTGCCAGAGGGGAACATGTGCTGGGTTTGGGCTCAGTCCTTGTGCAAGAAAGGCATGTTCCACTCACATCTTACAGGTAAACCGTAGTCATGTGTTCCCAGTTTGCTGAAAGGGAAGCTGGGAAATGCTGGCTCTAGATGAGTCATCATGAAGCCTATAAACAATAGATGTGGTGCATAACTTGTATCTCTACCACTTGTTGTTGAGTACTTCACAGACATGGACAAACTGTAGGGAGATTAGTTTGTATTAAGAGTTCAAATGTCTACAATCTCATGTTTATCATGCTGCAGAATGTGCTCCATTAATGATTCACAAAATCAATTCAGTGGGTTGTGACCAATCACTTTTTTTAATTAATTTTTATTAGTGAAATACCATGAGGTATAGTTGTAGACTTACAATTTTTTGTGCTTGGGTTTCAATTATACAATGATCAAATACCCATCCCTCCACCAGTGCCCATTTTCCACCACTATGGATCCCAGTCACTTGTTTTTTAATTAAAAAAAAAAAACCATGCAAAAGGAAGAACATAGAACCAAAATTAGAACCAAAATAGCATAAAATATCAGTTTCTTGTATGTAATAAGGGCAAGTCTTGTTTTATAAATATTTTAGCTTATAATATAAAATATATTTCTTACTTTAGATCATAGTCAAAATGCTGGAACAATTGTACTTCATAATATGTAACACTTGAAGCTGATAATTCCTTATTTCCGAGTTAATCTTTTATCTTTGTTGGATGCTTCTAGAACTTCTTTCACCATATGTGAAGGCTCTTGTTTTACTTCAAATTTGTGAGATGGTAGATAGCTTGCCCAGTAGGAAGAAGTGCTGAGAAGTTACAGAGAGATTAGGGGTGATACTCAGAGGGAAGTGAGTGGGTTCTGTCTTTGTCTTTCCATGAAGAATTCCTTGGCTAGAAATGCAGGTTGTGAACTTGGTGAGGGCTGTGTGTGCCATGAGGGTAAAGAGTGCTCCACCTATGAGCACGTCAGCTTTCATAGCACACCAAGACAATGCCTCTCTTAACTTTCTTTTTTTTTTTTTTTGCCTTTTTTGGTGGGGTGGGGTCACACCGGCAATGCTCAGGGGTTACTCCAGGTTCTGCACTCAGGAATCACTCCTGGCGATGCTTGGGGGACCATGTGGGATGCTGGGAATTGAACCCAGGTTGGCCACATGCAAGGCAAATGCCCTACCCACTGTGCTATCGCTCCAGCCCCTCTTGACTGAGTTTCCATGAGTTTTGTGAACCAGAAGACAGTTTCAAAGACCATGGGAGCTTTTAAGATGGGTTATAAGGGAAGCTGGGCTCTTATTGTGCCTGAAAATAGAGGGGACAGTGTAACAGGGCAGAGCAGAGTGCTGACTTGGCAATAGCAATCTGACAGTGGTATCTAATTTCTGGGGGGGGGGGGGGGAAGAGAGAGTAAAAGAGAGTAGTTGGAGGCAATGGGAATTAAAATAGAGACAGAAGGAAGAAAGTAAGATGAAAATATTGCTCTACTTTCAGATGAAGAAAGGAGCTCGACAGTTAAATGAAGGTACTGAAAAATTATAGCACAGTGGTAGGGCATTTGCCTTACTCACAGCTGGCCCAGCCGAGCCGGGTCTGATTCCTTCGCCCCTGGCAAGCTACTGAGAGTATCTCGCCCCCACAGCAGAGCCTGGAAAGCTACCCGTGATGTATTTGATATGCCAAACACAGTAACAACAAATCTCACAATGGAGACGTTACTGGGCCCATTTGAACAAATCGATGAACAACGGGAGGATAGTGCTACAGTGCTACAATGAAAAATACTGTTGCCAGAGGCCTGGCTAGTCCTAGATTGCTGCCACAAAGCATCATAATAAATGCTTTGTGATGGCTAAGATAGTGGATAAAAATTACAGAATCTTATCCTCTTATAGTTCAGAGATTACACAACTGAAACCAGTGTCCTTCTCTCTCTATGGCCTTTGCAGGGAGTCTGTCCCAGGACATTTTCTGGCATCCTGGACCATATTTTGCATACCGTGGTGTTTCTTAGCTAATACATGCACCACTCTAACCTTTGCCTCCATTTCCATGTGGTATTCTCTAGGATGTCTCTGTCTTTTCTTCTAAAGACAGCTGCCACATTGGGCTAAGGCTCACCCATGGATAGGTATATATCAAAACATACCTGTCGTGGGAGAACACAGTTCAAGACATGGCAAGCTTGTAGAAAGGCCTCTGTGATTCCACCTCATTATAAAGAAGTAGTCTAGGGTATATCTCTATTTCACAAAAGAAATTGGACTGACAGATTGTTTAGATACCTTATTGGGGTATGGAAGAAAGCAGGAAAAGAGACAATCTCCTAAATAATGGGCATATTCTAAGTGAGTGCTGGGCTACTGATTGATTTCAGGGAGACTCCCGGCCCCACTCCAACCCAGGCCTTCTGAAAGCAAGAATGATTGTGCTATCTAGCTACGGAGAATGTTACCTAGAGATGAGGAGATAAGTAGCATCCTCTCAATTCCCTTGGATGTCCATTATCCCATTTGACCTTATGCATAATAGAAAAGAGATCACTTTCCAGCATATTGCATCTTATCATGGTAAAGTCTGAACAGAGCAATTAAGAAACTAAATGCAGTTTTATGACCATCTGGGTATTGTTACTATATTCATAATCATTATATTTAGTGCAAGAGATGTATTAATTAGTGGCATGAGAAGCAGAGGGCGAAAAGCATATTGTATATGGGAGTTTGTGGTCAGCACCATATGCATTTTAGCTTAGCCTCAGAAATACCAGCAATTTGAAAAACCCACTTTTCTGCGCTTTTTAAAAATAACAGCTTTCGAAGAAAATTAAGTCTAGTTTTCTCTTTCTTTCAGCCAATTGATGGGTACTTTTAAACATGTATAATCCATCAAAGAAAGACAGTTTTAGGTAACATTGTTGCATCTTTTTAATAAAAAAGAGAAAATCCTGTAAAATAAGACTAAAAACCCAGAGAGAAAATAGTACATGATGATGGAAGGGAACATTTTATGACTGCTAATTTTATTTATTTATTTATTTAATTGAATCACTGTGACACAGTTACAGGCTTATAAATTTTCATGATTACGTTTCAGTCACACAATGATCAAGCACCCATCCCTCCACTAATGCCCATTCTCCACCACCAATATTCCTGGTGTCCCTCCCACCACCCTCACTCCTTCCCAACCTCTGCCTCTGTGGCAGGTACATTCCCTCTTACTCTCTCTCTCTCTCTCTTCTTGGGTGTTATGGTTTGCAATACAGGAACTAAGAGGCCATGACTGATAATTTTTGTTGTTTTGTTTGGGCAAGCTCAGTAGTGTTGAAGAACTACTCCCATCTCTTTGCTTGAGGTTGGTTCCTGGCATGCTTGGGGGACCATGGTGTTCCTGGGATTGAACCTATGGCTCTTGCAAGCAAAGCATGTGGTCTAGCTGGTTGAATTACTTCTCTAGTCTCAGATTATTTACTATCTCCAGAAGTAAGGAAATTAGTGCAATATGAACATTGGAACTATAAGGAAGATTACTGATGTAAAAGAGATTCTTGGAAGTTGTTTCAGGCCCCCTAAAAAATATGTTGCTGCTAGAGAGTAATTGACCTTGGATATCTGTATTTCTTATAGAAGTTTTTTTTTTTTTTGCTTTTTGGGTCACACCTGGTGTTGCACAGGGGTTACTTCTGGCTCTGCACTCAGGAATTATTCCTGGTGGTGCTCAGAGAACCATATGGGATGCTGGGAATCGAACCTGGGTCAGCTGCGTGCAAGGCAAACGCCCTACCTGCTGTGCTATTGCTCCAGCTCCTAGAAGATATTTTTGAAGATTTCAGATATCTCAAATACCTGGGTTCTGTGATCTGAGAGCAGTCCTTCTTCATTTAACCTCATTTCCCTTATAAAACTTCTCCTGAATATTTGGGCTTAGAATGGGCTTAGAACAGTTTCATCTTAGAGAAGATGGTGACCACCTGATGGCCCTGTCTCTCAAGGTGGCCAGAGACATGTTGAGGTGTTTTTTATTAGGGCAAACACTTAGAGAAAGAAATAATTTAGCTATACTCAGTAACTGTGCAGTGTTTTCCAACCACAGACATAGACTTCTTTCTTTTTGTTCATTTCCTTGAGAGTGGATATAGGAGTGCTTACTCTTTCACTTGTCACTAGAAGTCTCCACTTAAAGTTCAGAGCAAGTTCTTCCTGTATGTTAGAATCAAAAAAGTTAGTGACTTTCAGATTTACTTTTGACTGTGATTCTGGTGAGAGATGCACTTTATTTACCATCACTCTATGTATATCTGTATTCCCAAAGCAGAAATTTAGCTAACCAATTTATACTTTTATACTGTGCATATTCTAACACAGACTGTTCTGTTTCATGAGAGAGAGGGAGAGAGAAAAGAGAGAGAGAGAGGAGAGAGAGGGTGAGAGAGAGGAGAGAAAGAGGATAGAGGAGAGAGGAGAGAGGAAAGAGGAGGAGAGAGAGAGGAGAGAGAGGAGAGAGAATGTTCACTGTGACTCTACCTTCTAATTGCTAAACACTGTGAAAAGGTTCATCTAGATACAGTTGAACAGCACAGATTAGTATCTGTGGACTAGGGAAAACTGCTTTCTTGTTCTAGATATTGACACTGTGTTGTAAGTCATGACAGGTACAGCTTCAAGGGTTAGAGACTACCCTTGGTTTCTTTGCTTTTTTTTGGCCCCACCCAGCAGTGTTTAGGGTTTACTCCTGGTTTTGTGCTCGGGGATCACTTCTGGAGTTCCTTGGGGACCATATAGTCCCCAAGGATTGAACCAAGGTCAGCTATGTGCAAGGCAGGTGCCTTACCCACTGTAATGTCTGACTGGCCTCACATTCTTGCCCTTTGAACAAACACCACTACGAAATTCTACATCAGCAGCCATGTTCTGCTGAAGTTGAATGCTTATACCCAGGCCTACATCATGTTACTTAGGTCTAGTTAATGACCCCATCTCTTGGTCAATCCTAAAACTCCCATGGCCTGTAGTATGCAATATACAATCAAAGTGCTTCTTACCTTGAATACTAATTTATTTGGTCTCTTTTAGGTCTCCTACAGAGCCCAACACACCAAAATCTTGAGGACCGTGGTTATGATGATGGGCATCTGGGTGCTGGCTTTCTTAGTGCATGGGCCAGTGATTCTTGTTTCAGAGTCTTGGAAGAATGGGAAAACATACTGTGAACCTGGATTTCTTTCAGAATGGTATATTCTTGTCATCACATCCTTCTTGGAATTCCTGGTTCCAGTCTTCTCAGTGGCTTATTTCAACATGTATATTTACTTGAGCATCTTGAAGCGTGGTCATCTCAGTGCGAGGCAAAGTCACACCAGATTCTCGTCTGTCTCATCTAGTAACTGTGGACACTCATGTAGGTTTATAAGAGCAGCTTCTTCTGGACCGAAGGAAGCAGTGCCATCCTTTTGTCTCGAAAAGCAGGGAAGAAAGAGCAGTTTCTTCTTTTCTTTAAGAACTCAGATGAATAACAGTGCTGTCACCTCCAAAATGGGTTCCCTCTGCCATTCATGTTCTGTAGTTCTTCACCAAAGGGAACATCTTGAGCTTCTCAGAGCCCGGAAATTAGCCAGGTCTCTGGCCATCCTCTTAGGTGTTTTTGTTGTATGCTGGGCTCCTTATTCTTTGTTCACATTTATTCGTTCAATTTACCACTCAGATCAGCACTCTAAAACAGTAGAGTATGAAGTAACATTTTGGCTTCAGTGGTTTAATTCGCTTATCAATCCTTTCTTGTACCCCCTGTGTCACAAGCATTTTCAGAAGACTTTCTTGAAGATTCTTTGTATAAAAAAGCAATCTGTACCAATGCACAGTTGACCAGTGTCCTCTTAAAAATACTTTTTCTGATCACACAAATGTCAGTATTACACTTATTTAAATGCATTTTTAAAAATTGCATCATCGTGCAATACACAGTTATAAAACTGTTCATGATCAGGATTCAGTCATGCAATGTTCCAACACCTGTCTCTCTACCAGTGTACATTGCCTACCACCAATGACCCCAGTTCCCAGTTTCCATCCTGCCAACCCCCCCACTCCCAGCCTGCCTCTATCTCTCTCTTTCTTTCTTTCTTTCTTTCTTTCTTTCTTTCTTTCTTTCTTTCTTTCTTTCTTTCTTTCTTTCTTTCTTTCTCTCTCTCTCTTTCTTTCTTTCTTTCTTTCTCTTTTTCACTCTTTCTCCCTCCCTCCCTCCTTCCCTCCTTCCCTCCCTCCCTTCCTCCCATCCTCCCTCCCTCCCTCCCTCCCTCCCTCCCTCCCTTCCTTCCTTCCTTCCTTCCTTCCTTCCTTCCTTCCTTCCTTCCTTCCTTCCTTCCTTCCTTCCTCATCCTTCCTTCCTCATCCTTCCTTTCTTTTTTTCAAATTGAGAAAAATATATTTTTGATAGAAGTATGTTTTAGTGGAAAGTCAATAGACAAAATGAAGTTACAAAGTGCAAAAGACTTCCATCTCTTTTTCCTATGGATTCTTGACTCCTGGCATCTGTTCACATTTGGATCTTGTCAAAGGTTCATTGAGCTCAAGGATCCTTCATTGTCCAAGTGTAGGCTGAGGCTGAGAGGCATAGGAAGTGTCTGGAGGCAATCTATCTGAGCAAATTGAAATGAGTTTTGCTGCTGTCAAATTGGGTTGCCCTCTTGGGGTTGGTTGGCTGGCCCAACTTCTTGCTTTCTGACTGTCTACTGAGGCCTTCTGTTGGAGAGCACATAGCCTTCTCTGTTGCTTTCCTTTGTATCTTTTTATGGTAGATGCCTGTTGCTTGGGTCTTTCAGATGATTCATTCTCATGCGTGGGGGCTTGGGACAAGCCTGTGAAGGTCGGCCATGAGCATGGTGACGATTGGCTTCTGGAGGTTTGTGGCTGCCGGTGTTCATTTGGGGGATATACCTGCCCCCCTCTGAGGTAACCCGGTGAAATCAGCATGGTACAGGTTGGGGAGACATTTTGCAACTCCTTCCTTCCTTCTTTCCTTCCTTCCTTCCTTCCTTCCTTCCTTCCTTCCTTCCTTCCTTCCTTCCTTCCTTCCTTCCTCCCTCCTCTCTCTCTGTCTCTCTCTCTATTATGTTTATTCCTTTACCACTTTCAGCATGCAGTTATTATCCAAAGTGATCACTTCCGACTATTATTGCCATGGTGGTTCCTTCTCTATCCAAACTGTCTTCTCCCCAGCACCTGAGGCAACTTACAACCATGGACCAATCCTGGTCCATCACTCACTGTTCTTGGGTATTAGTTTCATACTATTTTTTTTTTTTTTTTTGCTTTTTGGGTCATACAATTTTTTTATTGTTGTTGCTTTTTTTTTTTTGCTTTTATAGCAATGCTCAGGGGTTACTCCCAGTTCATACACTCAGGAATTACTCCTGGTGGATTTTGGGGGACCATATGGGATGCCGGGAATCAAACCCGGGTTGACCATGTACAAGGCAAATGCCCTACCCACTGTACTGTCACTCTGGCTCTATACTATGGTTTTTATCTTCCACACATGAGTGCAATCATTCTATGTCTGTTCCTCTCCTTCTGACTCATTTCACTCAGCATGATACTCTCCATATATAACAAATTTTATATGTTATATATGTCCATCCATATATAACAAATTTCATGATTGCATTTTCTCTAAGAGCTGCATAGCATTCCATTGTGTAGATGTGCCATAATTTCTTTAACCAGGAACTCAGATAGTTTCCAGATTCTGGCTATTGTGTATAGTGCTGCAATGAACATAAAAGTGCAGATAGCATTTCTGCTATGTGTTTTTGCGGCCCCAAGGTATAATTCCCAGAAGTGGTATTGCTGTCATCTAAATAAATTTGATCCACCTTTCATCTTGTCCTTTTCAACTCTTCCCCCACAAAGTTCATAAAATTGTAATATTTGAAAGCTTAAAAAAAGTCAGAACCAGGAAGTCCATAAAAATTGTTATGGTTAATAACAGCATAATTATAATCAACAATAAATGCATAATTGCAAAGACATATCCCCTCTTTGTCATTACCTTTTCCTTTCTTTTAGGTTTTGATATATAGAGATTTGATTATAAAAGTCAAGAATTTCTCTTCTAGGTTCAGTGTGCGCTATAGTTTTAACTGAACTTCTTTTAATTTTATAGTGATAGAAACTTGTCAAGTTTTATAATCACTTCCTAAAGTACAAATCAGAAAAATAAAATTATACTTCTCTCTCTGACAGGCCAAAGAATTGGGGGATAGTTAGAGTCAGTGGGGAGGGGAGCTGGAGGTTTGGGCAGGCAGAAACAGAAAGTAAGAGTTCCCAGATGGGAGGACAGAGTGTACAAGTATTTTGAGGTTTCTGACTACAGATAAGAAAGTGTGAGGTGGTGGGAAGAAGATCAGGTAACCCCTGCGGCTACCCCAAAAATTTTGCAGTGAAGTCATCTGGGAGGCCAGGATACCAGGTTGGAAGGGGGAGGAAATGTAAGCAGACATCAGTGAACTGACTTTTTAGGGGATGAGGTAGTGTCTGGGCCACACTTGGATATGCTCAGGGCTTACTCCTGGCTTCGTGCTCAGGGCTCAGTTCTGGTGGTGCTCAGGACACATGTACTGCTGTGAATCAAACTAAGGTTGGCTACATGCAAGCCAAGTGCCTTAACCACTGTTTTATTGATCCAGACTAGTTGCCAATTAATTAAAGGGACATATACCCCCCCACCCCCCCGCCCCCGGTTCCTTCTTCTTCCTTCTCTCAGCCTCCATGTTAGCTCTAACTTCTTGATGAGTCAATATGGAGATAGATAAGAGCAAGAAAATGGCAAAAGGTCTACATGACAAAGCTAATGGATAAGTATAATGTTCACAGGACTCATGGGTATCAGTAGTTATTAGTAAAAAATTGTTGATTTTACTTGAGGTCTTTAACAGATACCCTATATTTTACTTTGTAGTGCTCAAAGTGATCCACTTATTATGCAGTTAGTATAGGTTATGCTTCCTGGGGTGTCACATTTTTATTAGTCCAGTGATGTATTATTCCTTTTGTTTATCATTCCACCCCTATAGTGCTCTTTGCCTGTCTTTGTTATAACATTTCATTTTCATCTCATAGATAATTTTGTCTCTCACATGAGGTTTTATCAGAGTTTGTCCTGTAACTTCTCAGAGCTCCTATCTAGTTTAGATTTTCTAGCTTCATTTTTAAATTTCTTAGAATGTTTAAATCTTTGATTGACTTCAAATATTAAAATATAAAAATATTTTAAGTACACAATTCTTAGAAATGCACATGTTTTATATAATGTATATAATATGTATATATGTATGTATATGTATGTATATATGTATGTATATTCATGCCTTGTATTAAATCTGAGGTACAAGGTTAATATTCAATGGTTATTTGAAAAAATTAAAAAATAAAAACTCAAAAGGTAAAAAAATTTTACTTATTTTTTTTGTCAGACTTTTCAATTGCAAAGTTTTTTTTAAATTTATTTTTTTAGAGCATTACAAAGCCATTCATGTTTGGATTTCAGTCATAAAGTATTCCAACACCCATCCCTCCACCAGTGTACATTTCCCAGCACCAGTACCCCTAGGTTACCTCCCACCCCCCCCACCTCCCACTTCCAGCCCTCTCTCTCTCTCTCTCTCTCTCTCTGGCATTGTGGTTTGCAATTTGCAATATTGATACTGAAAGGTTATCAGAAATATCCCTTACCTACTTTTAACCCTCAGATCTTGCCCAGCATGATAATTCCCAGCTATTTTTATCATACTGGTCTCTTCTCTATCTTACCTACCCTCAGCCCCACATACACTTTTGTGGTTAGTTTCTACCATTGACCAGTCCTCCTAACCACTGTAAAAAAATTCCTACCCAGAAATACCGTACCATACTTTATCCCTGGGCACTCCCCTGGATCTTTGGCTTGGAGCTGGGAACCTGATGGTTCTGAGCTTGGGCCTGATTCTGCAGTTCTTGGACCTGGAAGTGTTAGGGCTCATCTGGGCCAAGCTTGGTAGTCCTGGGGAGGAGGTGAGGTGCAGTGCTAGAAGCAAACGCAGAGTCTTATATCTGCCAAGCATGTGCTCTGAATCATATTCTGCCCCCCTCAGCTGTTGGTTTTAACATTCATTTATTAACAGTTCTGCATTCATTTGATCACTGAAAGTTTGAGTATTGATTGTATTGGAAGACCTCATAACAACGTTTTTCACCTGAAATTTGGGGAAATGTGTAAATATTCAGAAGTACTTTATAAAATATTTAAAAATGGAATTTCTGTTGTTTATTTTAGTCAAACTAAGATGTTGTCAATGTTGGACACACCATTATTTTATTTACCCCTGTAAGAGATTAAAATGATGCTGACTGCCTATGAAACAATACTTTGAAAAGTCACATTTCTGGGAAGTTCCCATCCAATTTCAGAGTTATTGAAAAGTGATCAATGTGTCTCTTAGAAGTGATGAAATGCAAATGGAAAAAATGAACAGAATAGAGCTAAGCTTCTATGAAATGAGATTTTGAACACAAGGTTTTTTGGGGGGGGGTGTGGGGGTAGGTAGGGTGGGATCTTCTTGCAATGGTGCTTGGGTCATCAGAGCTACACCTAGTGGTGCTCAGGGACCATGAAGATTTGGAGATTTGAACTCAGGGCCAGGCATGTACTCTAATCTTTTGTGGCCTCTCCCCACTCCCTTATAGTTACATTTGATGGTGTAGCCATGTATTTATTTAAAAAGATGTGTATTGTGTATAAATAACTTATTGCAGGATGTCTTGTGAAGCATGCTAATAAAATTCAGATTTTCTGGGCAAGAATTTTTGTTTGGGTGCCAGGAGTATGA